CCTCTGTAATCATCTTTACAATAAAGATTAAAACTAAAATTAAAAACAATACACTTTTATATATTTTTATTGTAAAGATGCTGTACAGAGGGATTACAGTTATATGAGTAAGGTAATGAGTACATTTCCTATCAAGCATTGTTACCCTCTCCTTTGTTTTTCCCCTACCATCCCTTCCTTCCCACATCCCCTCCCCAACTCCTCCCTCCACCCTCCCACAAAGTTGTAAAGTTCGTTTTCAACATACTGTCTTGTACATCTCATTGTTACAATGAGTCATCCTGTATACTTATTTCAGCATTTTGTTATTTCTGTTTCCCTCCCCAAATTAGAAAAATGTATATACAAAATGCAGGACACCGGAATCAAATACAGTAACAACAGGGGTTATACCATGGGAGAAGAACATACAAAAGAAACACAAAAAATCACATAGTACATTATAAGTACATTAAAAATAACAGCAACAAAGATAAATCTCTTGGGTCCCTATCTTGGGGTTCATTTCACTTAGCATCATCTTATATGGTCATATGTAACTTTTGACCTTTTCTGCTTGTCCTAGACTTACACTAGTTATTGCAAATAGGAAAACCATGGGACCTATGTTTCTTTGGGCCTGGCTAACTTCAGTTAATATAAATTTTTCCAAGTCTTTCTAATTCCTAACAAATGGGGCAGTGTCATTCTTTCTGATGGAGGCATAGAATTCCGATATCTATCTATCTATCTATCTATCTATCTATCTATCTATCTATCTATCTATTTATCTATATCTCACATTTTCTTTTTTTTTTTTGTCAGTCATGGGGCTTGAACTCTGGGCCTGGGCACTGTCCCTCAGCTCTTCAGCTCAAGGCAAGCGCTCTACCATCTGAGCTACAGCGCCACTTCTTATCTCACATTTTCTTGATCCATTCATCTACTGAAGGGCATCTGAGTTGATTCCATAGCTTAGCTTTGGTGAATAATACTGTGATAAACATAGCTGAGCTGGTAGCTTTAGTATGGCCTTGTTTGTGATCATTAGAGTAAATGCCCAAAAGTGGGATTGCTGGATCATAGGGGATTTCTCTGAGGAACCTCCATACTGCTTTCCAAAGTGGTTGAACAACCTTACCTTCCCACCAACAATGTAGTAGGGTTCCCTTTGGCCACCCCCCTCCAGCATCTGTTGTTATTAGATTTCTTGATTATAGCCATTCTAACTGGGGTGAGGTAGAACCCAATGTTGTTTTGATTTGCATTTCTTTTATGACTAGAGAAGTTGAGCATTTCTTCATGTGTCTATTGGCCATTCTTATTTCCTCGTCAGAGAAAACTCTCTTTAAGTCTAAAAAGAATATTTTTAAAAACACATAAAAGTTAAAATAAAGATGGAAGAATAAACCAGTGTTTTCACTCTAATATAAGCTCCTTAAAGATATAAAATAATTAATTTTACAGAGATGTCCATTTTGACTAACCCTACATACCTGTATGTGCCTGTGAATTTATGCAGATGTGTGTGTGTGTGTGTGTGTGTGTGTGTGTGTGCGTGTGTGTGTGTGTGTGTGTATGCAGGGACAACTGTCATCATGTTCCATTAGACCCTGTCTAGCTGCTCCTCATGCTATCACGCTAGTAACTCTTCTGGATTCACTCATAATGAGGAAACATTGGTGATGACATGTCAGATAATGGAAATGACTAGAATCAGTGATTTCTTTGTTTCTGCTAATGATTCCAAAGGAAGTAATTATTCAGCAAATGCAGACATTTGCTGAGTATCTGCATTCAGCACCAATATCTCTGACTAGTATTTAGATTTTTTTGGATATTACTTCCTTATCCCCTTCCTGTCACCTCTTTACTTCAAGGAACCACACCTAGCCTTGACATGCTGTCATGCAAAAATCATGATCATGTCAACTCTGGGACTGAGAAATTCATTCCCATGTGTTCCTATGGATCATGATGATTCACTTGGGCAGAGATGTTGTAACTACCCCTTCCTTCCTTTCTTTCTTTAGTAACTTATTAGAAAAGTGAGTTTTTAGTAACTCAGATTTTCTGGAATTTAGCCTTAAACTCTTGAACAGAACATATAAACTGAAAATACTGATCTTGAGCATTGAAATAATAAAGAGAACCCTGGGGAACTAGTTCAAAGCTTCTTGTTGTTATGAGACAGTGTCTGTAACAGTTTCCAGACTCCTTTTTCTAACCATTCAATGGGTATGATACTACCTTTGTCACTGGTCTTATGATAAGTAGAAATCAATTATGAATTGTGAACTCATTTCAAATGACAGGTACTAGATAGTTTTTTTAAGTTAAACTTTTTTTGACTTGGGGGAATGGGAGAGTCAGAGTATCTTAAAAAAAAAGGTACAGCAATCCTAAATAGAATACTAAATAACTTATGTATAGAATTTTATTCCTCACAAAATTCCATGAAATACCCATCTTTACCCTGCTGTACAGAGAAGGGATTGCATGTGCTGTAAGTTTGTCAGACAGTTTGTCAAACCACAGAATTATAACTGCCCCCAGATCTGTCTAAATCCTCCCCCTTCTGTATTAAGTATGTTTTCAGTAAGCTATGTCAGCTTTGGATAAGTGATTTACTCTTCTGGAAACCATTCATGCAGCATGGAGAGAAATGCCACTGCTATAATGTACTCATCTCTAATCTCAACAAAACCTCATTGCTTAGAAGTGCTCACATTCATTTTGCTCTTGAGAACCAAGGTAGTACATTTAAGTACCTCGTAGAGACTTTAGAACTAACTCAAGTAGGGCCTGCACTGAAGGCACTAGTATCAGATTCTTTCTGGTGTAGGGCAGTGAAGCTTTTGGAATTAAAGACAACCTAAGTAGAAAATACCTCCCAAACAGCACGTGTACAGTAGGCATTCATTATGTATTATGCTTTGTATTCCCTGACTCAGGTCCTCTGTTCTCTTGGAATATGATTAGCACACAGCTGCTGTGGACCCTTCAGAAAATAGGACTATGGAGAAACAGGCTGGGTTGAAGAAGTCATGGAAAAGCCACAGCTGGAGATGAAGGTGGACTGTAATGTACAGATTGCAAACTTCCAGCTGGCAGTCAAAGGTTCCTTCTTTCCAGCATGAGCTACCTTGGCAAACTTCATTCCCAATTCTCTTAGTTTTGAAGAAAAGCATTCCCAGCTAATAACACAATTACACTTAAGTATCGGGCCCGTTTTAGTATTATTGCATTTGTTAAATCTAACTGAGTCCAAATTACTTCCTCAATGTTAATAAGAGAAAGACAGGAGGAGGGAAGGGAAGGAGGAGGAATGGGCTGAAGGGGAGTGAAGCTTGGGAGGGTTAAATGGAGAAAAGAAGACACATATTCAAAGCGACAGAGAGAAAAGCAGAGAGCTATCAGTGCTGCATATAGCCTCAAGTCCAATAAATGTCAGTTAAACTTGCTGCACACAGTTTCTATGGAAACCCCTTAAGTTAAGAGTGGAAACACAGGCATTTTTTTTGGGGGGACTGCAATTCACAAGCTGTTTATTTAATTATGATGAAACATGAGACTGTTAGGGACAATACTATTATCATATTGCTAGCATTTAGGATTCAACAAATAGGTATTGCAAAATAAAAATCTGATAAAAAAACAACAACATTAACCTCACATGAATGGCATGTGAATAAAATACTTCTCTCATATTTACAGTAATAGGACTTCACACTTATTTCCCTCAGGCGAACCCCAAATTAGCCAAATGACATTCATTTAAAAGAGTTCTTCAGAGGCTTCATGCCAATTATGCCCCCACATGCTCAGTGAACAAAACCAAGGTCACAGCCTATTTTCAATTAAACCCAAGACAACACCAAAGTGTAGCACAGCTGGAAAAGCAAGCACATTATTACCCCATAGATCATTTGTGAGCAATGAATAGGTCTCCAGTGCTTTTCTGTTTTATAGGCATTTGAATATAAAAATAAAGAAAATAGCTTCAGATTAGCTTTTGCTTTCCAAAATAAACAACCACTTTTAGGGCATCATTTCTCATGGCCTGAGGAGGGAAAGAAAAAAATAGATTCAAAGCCGTCAATTTCTGTCTCTGATGCTTACAATTTGTTTGTTTAGCCTTTCATGTAGCCAGAGAGAACCAGGGAATTGTTGGGCCCATTCACAGATTTGTTCTTTGTCTAAACCACTATGTAGTATTCCACCTACTTTGGGTCAGGACTGTGTTAGGGATAGGAAAGGAAAGGTCAGTAAAAGTCACTTCCTTACTTTACTGTGGATTTTCTTGAAAAGAATGCACTGACTCTATCACTCTATATTTGTGAAGAACCAGCTTAGCTTCCTAGGAAGTAGGTTAAGAAGAGAGGTAAAAGCAGAAGTCTACTTTCCTGGACTTTACAGGAGACAGATGTACACACACTCACAGGGCAAACATCAGTATTCCTTCCTGCTGTCTCTTATCTTAGCTCTCTCTGGCAGAATTGCCTACTAAGAATGCTAGACTGTCCTAGAGGTAAGTGGGGTTTATGTGCATGGCATGGCTATTTGTTGGAGAGGAATAAAAGATGAAAGAAGATGGAGTATTGTCATAGCACAAGCACATCTGCAAGTATGTCCATGAGCCCCCGGTATCTTTACAAAATCTTTAACCCATAGAATGGATGGAAGAAGGCGATACGAAAAGAGAAGGGAATCTTGGGAATGTCATTTGTGGAGTCAAGCTAAGAACAGGAACGATGTTTCTCAATTGGCAAAGAGACACGTACCCTCCAAAATTTGCAACTATGACTCAGTGGGTATGTCATTTCAACTAGACTGCAGCTTATGTTTTGAAATTCAGTAGTGCTTTTGCAGTGGCTGGACTTCCCACAAATTGCTGGTGCTAGCACAGCCAGTCGTTGCTGCTATCCGATTTGACAGCATATAATGAGCCACTTCACATTAGCTTCTGCTTGTAGTATTCAGCATATTGTGGGAATAATTTAGCATGAATCATCACCCACCTAGCTCCCCATTGGGGTCTCTATGCTGTAAATGGGCAATGTGTTTGCCAATCTTAAAAAAAGAAAAATATCCATTAGAACAATTCAGCACATTTCTTTATAGGCTACCACCACTACCACCACTGACACTACTGGTGACAATATTTATTGAATCACCACTGTTCTAGGCAGAAAGCCAAAGCAGCCATTTTAACCACTGGACATTTTTAAACAATGAAATTTTTAATGCCAATAAAAATGCATTTGGAGTGAAAAGATCTGTAATCTATACGTGATCCTTTTGTATTGGAATCATGGCCTGAGGCAAGTCATATTTTTTTCTAATCTTATGTCCTGATCATAATCACATCATGAGATCAAACCAGACAATGTGATTAGTGAATCTGGACAGGAAGTAGTTAAATGCAGCATTCAATTATTGAAATGGAATGAGAGTTTGACATATTTAACACAAACTCCATTTGTACTTTACTGCCCCAACCTCTATCCCAAACACAAGAGAGACACATAATCTGTCCATCCCTCTCTACCACTCATCCCACCTCATCATTCTTGCAAATGGTGCATGCTGTAACCCTAGCTACTCAAAAGGCTGAGATCTGATGATCATCCTGAGTTGAAGCCCCAGGACCGGTACATTACATTACATACACACATGCATGCATGCATACAAAAAAGAGGGACAACCAAGAAAGAACAGCAAACAAACAGGAAAAAAAAAAACATAGCAATCAGCAGAAAAAAAACAAAGAAAAAAAACATCCAGAAAGAAATATACAAACGAAAGAAAGAAAAACAATGCAGAAAAAACACAAAGAAAAAAAAAACAAAACACAGAACGAACGCAAGGAAGAAAGAAGCAAGAAAAAGCAACGAACACAGAAGAAAAAAGAAACAAGCAAGCAATCAATGAAAGGAAGAAAGACAAAAAAAAAAACGAACGCAGCAAAAAAAATCAAGAAAGAACAAGAAGAAAGAAAGCATGAGGGAGGACTCAAACAAACAAAGAGCCACACGCAGAAGCAACCAACGAAAAAAAAACGACAAACAAGACTGAAACAAACAATGAAAGCAAAAAAAAAGAAGCAAGCAAGAAATAAAAATAATAAGTAAGTAAAAAAAAACTAAATATATAAGAAAGATAAGAGAGAAACGATCGATGGATTGCCATCCACTGCAATAAAAAAAAACAAAAACGAACATAGAAAGAGTCCAAACAAAACCAATGAAAGAAACAATAATTAATCACGATGGACCCACCAAGGACAGAAACAAACTAAAAAAAAAAAAAAAAAAAAAAAACAAAAAAAAAAACCCAAAACAGTAACAATTAATGTACATACAGGGGATACATAAAAGGAAAGAGGTGATATTTCACATTTATTATATGTCAAGTAATCAATTCTTAGTTCTCATGTTAAGTACATTTTGGTAGCCTCTGCCATAGTACTCTGTATTGGGGGGGTCAGTCGTGGGGCTTGAACTCTGGACTTGGGTGCTGTCCCTCAGCTCTTCAGCTCAAGGCGAGCGCTCTACCGCTTGAGCCACAGCGCCACTTCTGGTTTTCCAGTGGTTTATTGGAAATAAGAGTCTCACGGACTTTCCTGCCCGGGCTGGCTTTGAACTGCAATCCTCAGATCTCAGCCTCCTGAGTAGCTACGATTACAGGCGTGAGCCACTGGCACCCAGCTTAGTACTCTGTATTTATTGAGATATATACTGTGCTTGACACTGGGAAACCATTGTCTTGATTTTCTTCCTATTTCACAGGTTTCTCTGCTCAGCCTTATCTCTGGTTCTCTCTAGTTCTTGAGCCACTGAATGTTGGAGGGTCTGAAAGCTCAGATAATGAGCTTTTTAAAATAATAATAATAAAAAATCACTCTCAAGTGGCCCTCCACAATGGCTCTGCATATCCTCTACAAAGTGGATACTGGCAAACCTAAATCTCTAGCAGCGTTTTAAACTAGGGTATACAAACACTTACTTGAGACCTTCACATAAGGAATCCAAAATTAACTCGTCTACACAGTGGATGTCTGGGTTCCAATACAACTTCCAGCATGAAGAGGACTTTTAATAATAGAAATTCCATTCACTGACTTTGAACACCAAAACATTTACGTATCTACTGTGTAATAGGTAGGCACTGCTTCCTGGCCTAATAACTTAGGTCAGTCATTTGAGTCTCCTTTTCCTTGACCCCACGTCTCTCACTTTCACATCCTACCACCTCTACCTCAGCCTTACATCCTAACATCTGAATAGTAGAAGTTCGTGTATCAAGATTCTGATCACTTCTAGAAACCTTCATTTATTTCTTTGAGTAGTTGGACTCTTTTATAAACTGATCTATCATCTGATCTCCATGCTTCTGTTCTTCCAGACTTCTGGCCTTTTTTTTCCCCAGTGATTGGGTAATTCTAGTGAAATCAAAATAAGGCTGAGTCTTTCTTTTGTACCTTGATGAATGCTGTCTTATTATTAGAGTAATAATAATGTTCTTTCAGTGGCATCTGAGGCCAGTCAAACTTTGGTTCTGCCTATCTCCTAACACTGCTCCACTAGGCTTGCTGGCTTCTTACCATCCCTCCATTTTGCCATGCACACACTGATTCCACCATGACATTGCAATTGATGTTTTCCCTGCCAGGAACCCTGTTCATATATACTCTTTTGCTGTGCATGCACTTCATGACTTTGGTGCCACCTCACAGCCAAATGCTGAAAGTGTACCTGCTCATTTCCCTGTGCATGCATCCTAGACACCTCTGCCTCTCTTTACTCTTTATCTTCTTCAAATGGTATTTTTAACCTTAACATGTTAAAAGAAGGAAGAGGGTACCTTTTCTTTGGCTTTTCTGCAATTTTCATTGTTTTTCTTTTCTACATTTTTCAGTAGTGCATGTTAAGTGTACAATGTGTGATGTTTCTATATATGTATATAATACACTTTGATCATATCTGCACCCTCTAATACTTTTTAACACATTACCTTTCTATTTCTTTTCAATTTTTTATAATGCATTTCATGTATCTCTTTTTGTATACATATCTCCAAAATTCTACATATTTTTAAGAACTTAAATAGTTGGGTTCCTTAAATACAAAGCATTATTATCTCCTGTGTGGGAAAAAATGAAAAAAATTTACTTGAGCAATCAGCAGCCATTATGTTAGTAATGCACACAGTACTTGTTTGCTCTTGTGTCCTGGCTCCTTGCAGATGACATACCCACTGAAACAGACAAGTCTTCCATTGTATTGCATGAACAACCCACTGCGGCCATGTAGTGTGTGGTCAATGGTGCTTTATTTTCATAATATATGAGATAGCATATTAGGTGAACTAAGCTTATCATAGGGGGAAAAACACTACTGAAAATGCATCCTGAATTTGATTTATGATGAATTTGAACTACCCAGTTAGCTCAAATCACAACATTGATTAGAGAGAACCTCATAAAATTATCAATTTGTAGATCAAAAAATTGTTGACAATGCTTTGGCATTAAAAAGTAATAAGGGGCTGGGAAGGTGGCTCAGTGGTAGAGTGCTTGTCTTGCATGCATGAGGCCTTGGGTTCGATTCCTCAGCACCACATAAGCAAAAAGAAAAAAAGCCGGAAGTGGCGCTGTGGCTCAAGTAGTAGAGCGCTAGCCTTGAGCTGAAGAGCTGAGGGACAGCGCCCAGACCCAGAGTTCAGGCCCCACGATCAGACCCCTAAAAAAATAAATAAATAAAATAAAAAGTAATCAGATACAATCATGTAATAAATGTCCAAGTTGTCAACCAAGTTTATAATTTTTAGTTTACTTGTAGTTATATAAACCTTTATGTGCTATGTGCATTTATTTTTATTAAAATAATCTCTAAGAAATGGAAATAAGGGGGTTTTATTTTGCTTTTCATTTTTGTTTTGTTTTTTTTTGTCTTTTTTCTCCTTTGTCACTGTTTTATACATCAATCTGCAGCACAGTAACTATAAAGTAAAAGCAGAATTGGTAAATAAGTCTGAGTTAGTAAAAGATTTATCAACTGATTACCTATAGCAAGATCCACAAGCTAGGAGTACAGAGAGTATCCATTTGCTCTACTACAGCTTAAAAAGCCCAGTGGTGGCTGGGTGCCGTTGGCTCATGCCTGTAATCCTATGTACTCAGGAGGCTGAGATTTGAGGATCACAGTCCAAAGCCAGCCCCAGGAGGAAACTCCATCAGATTCCTATCTCCAGTGAACCACCAGAAAACCAGAAGTGGCGCTGTAGCTCAAGTGGTAGAGAACTTGTCTTGAGCTGAAGAGCACAGAGACAGTACCCAGGCCCAGAGTTCAAGCCCCAGGACCAAAAAAAAAAAAAAAGTCCATTGGTACAGCCATGTGTATATCATAGAGAGCAAAGACATATGTACTATTCTTCCCAACAATTCAAATACTTATTTCATTTACAAAAATTGAGAAATGGCTTGCTCAGAAAAAGAATTAACCATTTGCCTATTATATTTTCCATGCTATTCTCTTCATTATTCTGTAACTGTGTATGACAAGGAGTACATCTTATTAACAGGTGCATGACTGCTCTGTACTTGTTATTTATTTGTACATAAATAAATTAAAAATGAAGTATTGTCCACACTGCACTCTGGACAAATTAAGTAAAATTTCTGGGTACAGAAAAAAATTAATAAAAATTTTTAAATAAAGATGTATTTATAAACACTGATGAAGTGATAAATGCTTCACAGCCATCTCTATGGTGGCTGATGGTGTGCTACTTTGACAAGTTGTGTGAAGGTAGCAGATGGTACGTACAAAGTGTTGATTTCTAAATCATAGTGCCAGGTCAACCTCTGTTCTAATGAATCTGAATCCCCAGGCTGAAAAGACACACAATAGCTATGATCTTTTACAAGGCAGCATTCATCTTCATGTGTGCAGTCCTGAAGGAAGAATCAGGACCAGCAGTCATGGGTAACTTACCCAAATGCTCTTCAGAAGTGAAGATAAATGGCCCAAAGTATGCCATCATGAATTATAAATAATTATTCCACATTTA